GATTGGGATTACATAATCGAATGGATGGTCTATTCAGATTATGTAATACATCTGATCAAGGAATAATTGTTGATCCTTGATATGTACAATCGTTGCACAGAAACCGGTTAGATCTAGGAGCTCTACGAGTAAAGCACTTGTCAAGGCCTCGATCGTACGTGTCATGGGCTATGCCAAAGCTGGGTGTGCCGTATTATCTTGGTGAGGCAAGATGGAGAAATGGTGGTTCTCATAGCTTGAAAGTAGATGTTTGATCTAAGTGTGGTTTCGAAAAATCCCTTGTTTATGTAATGCTAAGCGTGTACCTCCCACTACTAGAGCGCCTATCAAGACATCGATCGTCCGTAACACGGGTCATGCCAAAGCTGAGCGTGCCGGATTATCTTTGTGAGGCAGGGTGGGAAATCGTGGTTTCCACAGCTTGAATATGGTTTACCTTAGGTTAAGTTGTCAAGTTTGACTTGAGACTTAATGGTACAGATGAGACGAGTATGCAATGATATTCGATATCATAGTCTCATAAAAGATCTAAGAGTCACATTGGATGTGATTGACATTAGATGTCTACCTAAGTAGCGTAAGGCTGAGTGTAACAACTCATTCTTATGTGAAATACGGATCTTAGTCCCATAAATAGAATTATTGTAGGGTTATTTTTCTTTATGGGAATATAGCTTGTATATGCATCATGTTGTCATTGATTGGTGATGGACTAGCTGGTAGTAGATCATTAATGTATTGTCGGTGATTGATGATGGACTAGCTGGTAGTAGATCATTGATACAATCTGCAATTTTGTTTTGTTCGTTATGTTTTGTCTCTTTTTGTAGGACATGGCGTCAACCGGTAGCGTACCAAGTTTGACGATGCGATCTATCCTTGAGAAGGATAAGCTGACCGGGACGAACCTCTTGGACTGGTATCGTAACTTGAGAATTGTTCTTGATAACTCCTATTCTTCTCTATATTTTGATGAGAGTTTGTCTAGGTTTTATAGGATAATCACATGCATTCATAGGCATTCTAGGCGTGTTAGGATACAAAACCCGGTTGTGCTCTAGTTTTGCAGAGTTACAGGTTTCGGAGATGATTGGACTCGAAAAGGAGCTAATTGGAGCGTTAAAGGAGAAGTCCGGATGAGGTACTCATGTTGCGACAGCAATAACTTTCGCACAATATGATCAATCAGCTCAAGACCATGTTTGAGGAGCTAGCGCGTACTGAAAAGTACAAGACGCTGAAGGCTCTGGTGAAGACGGAGATGCCGAGAGGTAGCTCTGTCAACACCCACGTCCTCAATATGAGAGCTCATGTTAAAGAACTTGAGCATATGGGAATGAAGCTCGATGGTGACTTGGTTGCAGACTTGATCCTGATGTCATTGCCCGAGGACTATAACCAGTTCGTTATGCAGTACCATATGCACGGGATGACTAAGAGCTTAGTCGAACTGTATGGGATGCTGAAATCGGCCGAGCAGGATATCGTGGTGTCCAAGACTGTGCTTGATGTTGAGAACAACTCCAGCAAGAAGCGGCGGGACAAAGCCAAAAAGAAGGCGGCTGATAACACGTATTTTGGGTGACGTTTTGATATAGGATGTCTAGCGCATTTCACTCTATTTTACATATTTGTAGGCATTCTAGAGCACATTTGGCTTCGACATTGCATGGTTGTGTTCTTTGGTGTTTAAACAGATTTTCACGCATAAAAAGAGCAAAAGGAGTGGAAAACATGGACTACGGAACATCACGGACGAAACGGAAAATTTTGGAGTGTTTCCAGGGAAAACGTGAAGCTCAGAAAACGTCCGAATTTGCAAGTTCAATAACTTTCACTCCACAAGTCCAAAACATGCATTCTCTACATCACTGGAAAGCTCTTCTCAATATCTACGCATAGACATCAAGATCACTCAAATCCGATATCGGAGCAGGAAGTTATGAGCGAATTCGTGAAACCTGTCAAAACTGCTCAGAGACACGAAACGATCGTTTCGGGATGGACGAAACGATCGGTTCGGCATCGCAGAAGTTGGAAAATTGCTCAGAAAGTGAAACCGATCGGTTTGGCTTTGCCGAAACGATCAGTTTGACCCCCAGATTCAGGAAAACTTCCAATTTTGTCCAAACCGAAGGGAAATAAGAGGAGAAAGCCTCTAGGTCGAAATGAATTCAAGCTTTACACAGAGAACATACCAAGATCACAAGAAAAGGGGGCGTTTATCAGGAAGCAAGAGATCGGAGTAGAAGACGGAGATCACGAAGTCGAGAAATCGACTAAGCGTTCCTCTTTCCTTCTATTTTACGATGTTTTGTTGTATTGATATGAACCTTGACGTCTCGATGTTTAGGGAGTAATTCCTTTGCTGTAGGTTAGGGATTTGCTATGTAGAGATCTTTGGTTTCTAATTCCAGACTTTGTGGTTTTATTTATTCTATTCGGTTTATTGAGTTGCGTTTAATGCGTTTGATCTTGTTGGCCACTTGATTGAATGAACTTAGGGTT